CCCCCCGCCCCCCCCCCCCCACCCTCGCCGTCTCATCTCCTCTTCTCCCTTCCTCCTCTTTTTCTCTTAACGGCGCACCTATCTATCTTTCCTTCGGTATACATATACCTACTATTTCTTGAGCGGCTTATCCCTCTCTCATACTCTCTTTTCATCGCGACTTGCTTGCCTTATAACCCTCTGCCCCCTCTCTCTCTCTCTCACACACACACTCTTTATTTCTTTCCCTCTTTTTCTTACTCCCGGCCATCCTTCTACTCCCTACGTATGCACTCTCGTGTACTGCACATTCTGTGCACCTAGACTTCGCGATACCCGATTGCGATCCTCTCTAGACGTTGCCGCGTGGGCGAACATGGCCGCCAGACTTTATGAATCCATGGACCAGATTCAACCTCGTGCACCGACTATGTATACCTACTATTTTTCATCATAATAGTTACAGGCACATGCGTTACTTTAAGATGCCTCGTCAGCGTATTATTTCAGGCTTACTTTTGGCTTTTGGCATACCGAGCTGACCATAATGAAATATTGCTAATGCACGTCTCAGTTACGATCTTAAAGTCATTCGATAGGAGAAATACGATTTCGAGGATTTACAAAGCCGCTAAGCTCTTTAATTTCGTCTGAATTGGTACTGCTGATAATTATTGATTATTCATACACGAAATTATTGAAACGATTGAATCGTGTGTTATATGTTAAATTTTTAATTCTTGCCAGTATAGATATGTACGATTGTAGGCAGCAAGTTGTTTCGACTATTTGATGAATTTCATTCTGATGTATCTAGCATTGACTAATCACGGAAATCATGATTGGATTTATATTACTATATTAGTCTTGTACCAAAACCCTCGTGTATCGATTGAGACTAAATGGAATGTGATCCCGTTGAATATCGTGGCATGTTCTGCAAGTGCATTATTTAATAGGGAAATAATGATTTTTTAACTGAATTATAATAAATACCTAAGATTACCTTGAATTGGAATATTTTATATAGGACAAGGGACACTTTGTATTTGTGACATTGCTAGGTGATAAATTCACGTGAAATTATAAATTCAAAATTTAATTTATCCTTTCACCGTACGAGAAGAACGTTAATTAGGCATTATTTGAATACCTTGATACTGCTCGTTACTGTACAATATACATATATCTATGGTGCGACAGGATATTATCTTTCCATCAAAAATTGTGACTGGTTCAAATTAATTCTTTCTAACGAAATGCTGAGCAATTGTGATACCGAAAAAAAAATCAGAGACAAATTGCAAATAAAACTGTTCGTTCGAGCGGGCTGCGTGCGTCTATATTCCGTCCCTCTATATTCGTTCGGCCTGCTCGTCCGGCAATTTCAATTTCCTACAGCCGATGCCGGGCCCCGAAGGAAAACAGAGTTTCGCTCTCTAAAGTCTAAACCGAGTTAAGTTCAGTGCAGGGAGTGGCGTAAAAAGGAAGTGGGTGTGAGCACACGGGTATCGGTGCGTGACGCCGAGGAGCAGTGTGGCCATTTTGTTGCCGAACGTATCTAGTTCGAGAAACCATCTTCGAGCAGAAGAGAATTTTTTAAAAATTTCTTATGAAAAAAATTTCGAATTTCCCGCCGAAACTATAAGTAAGTCCATTAAACGAGTTCCGAATGAAAGATTGCGCAAACGTAGTTAACCGCAGAAAAAAGAAGCCACCGATTCACGAGCATATCGTGGGCCGAAGGTCTCTCTTTGGAATTCTTTCTTCTTTTTTTCCTTCCTTGACGTTTTCTTTTCTTTCTCTCTTTATTATTCTTTTTTTTTTTCCTTCTCTCGTCGACGAGGTCGCTGCTGCTCGTTCACTCGCTCACCCGCTTCGCAGGCAGACAACCTTCGTGATACTTCAGCGTCCCGGCGCACTCGCGTCTCTGGTTTGACTTCTCGACACGACACGCTCCGCGTACATACATATTTTCGCCTTACTCAAATCTCTCTGCATATTCCACTTTACGTTAATTTTCTTCAAATTACTTTTCCCCGACGACACAAATTTAAATTAAATTATCTCCCAGAGATTTAAACTTTTTACACGGACATATAAGCAGCGGACTTAAGATTATTTTGTACTCACGTAACATGACTGTATTGCAAGAACAAAAATTGCAAAGTAACATTATTAACATTGGTATCCTTGGAAGGTAGCGTTGCGCATGCACAGTGATAAATGTTATTTTCGATTATCTAAGGACTCTCGTTATTCCAATTGTCAGCCAGTATTCCTGATCGGCATACATGTAATTACGTGTTACTCCAATACGATGGCATAAGCATCGACCCAATTAATGCCCATTGCTTTTTGTCCCGCAATAAATTCCTTCGCGGTAAGTAAAATCCGTTACCGTTACTGAAAGTTGCTTTATCGCGCGATCGTTATACTTCACGAGAACTGGAATGAGTATGCCTATATTCTAACAGGGTAGCAAAGAGCATACGTAAAACCAGGAGTGTAATCTTCGACTAGTATTACTAGGTAATGCTCGCATAATACATTTCTAATTGACAGCCCGTGCGTTATAAGTAAAAGAGAGGAAAAAAAAAGATGGTGGGAGACCGTAACACTGTTTTGCCAATATAGGGGTCGATCCGGTTTTCGGGGTTGCACTGGCGAAGGGTGATTGGAAAAAAATAATACAATGGAAAAAAAAAGTCCCCAACCGGATCGGTAGAATCGGTACAAATGATTTCATTAGAACCCTCGTTTTCCCTCCCCACTGGTGGCGTGTCAGTTAGGGGTTGGCGTACAGTGGGGCTACATCGAAAAAAAAAAACCAGAAGGGCGGAGCGAAAAAAATGAATGCGTCGTTCGTCAGGGGGATGTAACAGGAAAAAAAATAACGAGGGGGGGATTTGAACGTAATGAAATGGGTCTGTACCTAGTGATTCCCAACTATAGGCTGAGAATCGTCGCGTAAGATTGTGCACCCTATCAGAGTGGACATCGGGCTAAGGGAGGCTCGGTGGATAATGGAGTATAGAAAAATGAAGCACAAACGTAAAAAGAGTATCAGCGTCTATCCCGATGATTCGGTCAGCAATTTACGAGTGGTACCACCCAAAAGCCCGTCCCAGTTTTCTATTTTAACGTCGCAAAAGAGACAAAGAAATGTCCTCGGCTGGAAATTCGCCAGGCGTCGATGTTTATCCCACGGGTGTACCATTTTAATTGGAAAAACGACGTGAATTAAGGTCGCAACAATTAATATCCGATCGTCTATCTAGTTCGTCCATGTGACAAGAGTAATTTAAGCTAGTCAAAAAAAAAAGTTTCCGACCCCCTATAAATATAAAAATCGTGATTTAAAAAAAAAAGAACAACCCCAAGAATTCCCTAATATTTAGGTCGATCGATCTACTTCCTCATGTTGTGCCCAGTGGTTTCTGTCGTCATCGTCAGTAAAAGTCAGCCCTCCCCACCCACTTACAACCCCTCTCCTCCTCACTCGTCAGTCGCCGAAGAAAAATGTACGACGTCAGGCGTCTAAAGAGAAGCCACGCGATACGTCGATGCGGGGACGTTAAGGGAGGGAAACAAGGGCCTGGGGAAATAAATCTAATGGTTAACGAGTTTTTACCGTAGTAGCGCGGGAGGGG